GAGGATGAGTAGGAGGAGGAGGAGGAGGAGGAGGAGGAGGGCTCCGGGCACATGCGTGCGCGACCCGCCGGGCTTCTGCCCAGGCAACAAGTATCAACGGACGCTGCCGACTTATGCGCCCCAGACGTTTCCAATACATGTTTGACGTGTGTCGTCGAAGCACGACATCGTCTTGAATGACGAACATCCTGACACGTTGGTGTGGCAGAGCGATCATACACATGGTACGCTGGCGCACCGCACGTGAATCCAGTCATGTCTCGTCGCAGGACCATCATCATCACCCCTGTCATCATAATGATGAGTGTCATGACGCGCTGGTGTGGCACGCTGGTGTCATAGCATGCTGGCTTTCCGCATGTGTATTCACTCGTGTATCATCGCAGGACCCTCGTCATGATGATGGGTGCCATGATGCGCTGGTGTGGCACACCGATCTCATGACACGCTGGGCTGCCGACAGTATGCACCATGTAGTTTTCATTCAGCACCGATCCCAAATATTGTGTAAGACCGTTCGGCTCCCTGAAGAGCCCGTTCGACGGGAGCCCATGATGAGGGCGATTTCGTGGACATCTCCTTTTCGGTGCCGCAGCGAGACAACATTGCGCTTCGTGGTTCAAGCAGCATTTCGCCTGAACTACAAGCGCCGTCTTCCCGCACCAAGCGCGCGATCCCTTTGGCCTCTGCCCAAACCAGGAGGTATCAACGCACGCTGGCGACATGTGCGCCCCAGACCCAACGATTGCACGTTATGCGTGTGTCGTCGTAGCAGGGACACCATCATGATTATGACTGCAATGCTGCGCTGGCGTGGCAGAGCGATGGGTACACATGGGACACTGGCCGTCCGCATGTGCATCCACGAATGCGTTGTCGCAGGAACATCCTCATGATGATGGTTGTCCTGACGCGCTGGTGTGGCCCACCGATGTTATGACACGCTGGTGCGCCTGGTGCTCCAAGGATGTGCGCCATGGCGTCCTAATCCAGCTCTTGTCCATGGAAATTTGGCCCTCCGCCTGTGTATTGGGTCGCGCATCATCGCAGGACTTTCGTCTTGATGATGGATGTCATGACGCGCTGGTGCGGCACCGTTCGGCCCCTCAGGAGGCCTTTGAGAGGAAAACCGATCCAGGGGACATTTCGTGGTCAGCCCGCCTTCGTTGTCAACGCCAGAAAACATTGCGTTTCGTGGGTCGAACGCTACTTCGACGCACCTCCACGCCCTGATTTGCCTCGGCGGTTATTTATATATATATATATATATATATATATAGATATAAAAAACACAAGCCATATACGGTTTTCTGAAAACCAACATAGAAAATGATTGCGGCGATGCTCTCCGCGTAGGGAATCGCCCATCTGGCTGCGTGGCTCATGGACTCCAATGCTCTGCTCTGGCCAGCGGGCACGCATGTTTTTCCATGCCCCGACTCATATGTGGGTTCTTCGAGTCGTGTGCTGCCCCGAGCAGAGCACACCTGCATCAACGTCCGCACTCCCCTTTTCTGTCCCTGCAGGAGCAGAACAGGTCGAGCCCGCGTGCGCCTGGTGCGGGGACGAGCAGGAGGAGGAGGAGGAGGAGGAGGAGGAGGAGGAGGAGGAGGAGGAGGAGGAGGAGGAGGAGGTTTTAGGAGGATGTCGATCGGATTTTGGAGGAGGATTTAGGCGCATTTAGGATTTAGGATTTAGCAGGAGGAGGATTCAGGAGGAGGAGGAGGATATCGAGGTGCAGGCAAGGGTGGGCGAGGGCGAGAGGGAGGGTGAGAGGGACAGGGGAAGAAGGAAAGGATGCGGAGGAGGCAGAGGGTATGACAGAAGGAGGCGGGCACAGTGGGCAGCAGGAGCTGAAGCAGGTGGTGAGGGGGATGAAGAACAATTCTTTATTCCGTCCTCTTTCCTGCTCCCCCTCCTCTCTTGTTTCTCCCTGGCCTCCTCCGCGCTATGATTTTCATGCTGTTCTTCCCCCTTCTCCTGCCCCCCCTCCTTCGTCCTACTCCATTTCCAAACTCCTCGTCCTCCGCCTACTGGTCCCCCAATGTTTGCCTTGCTTGGATGTTCTTGCGGGTTTCGGGCCTCGGTTCTTAGCTAGGTCGCTGTCCCTTCGCCGTGGTGTGTTTCCTCTGACCCTCTGGGCCTTGCTCGTTCGCCTTTTCGGGCCCTCCTTCGGTCCTTTTGCTGCCTGGGGGTTAGCGCTTGACTACCCACGTCCAAAACAAAATACTGGTTCCCCTCACCCCCTCCTCGTCTTTTGGTATGGGGGAAACGGGTCATGCACCCTGGGGCCTTCCCCCCAGCACCAACTCTTCATCCCGAGCCCTTTCCTGACAGTCTCGGGGCCCGTGGAGGGCCCCGAGAGCCCGAAAACGGTGAACAACCTCAGGACACGTTTGCCTCAGGACACGCCTTTCCCCTCCTCGCTTGTCCTGCTCTCCTCCTGCTCTCCCCCTCCCGGCACCCCCTTCCCCCCCGCTGCGGCGGGATGGGTTGGCAGGTCGAACCCTCACAGCGCCGGCGCCTCGGGACATCCCGCCCGCGTGCGCCCCGTGCCGGCGCCCGCAGCCTCCGCCTCCTCCTCCTCCTCCTCCTCCTCCTCCTCCTCCTCCTCTTACTCCTCCTCCTCTTCCTCCTCCTCCTCCTCCTCCTCCTCCCCCTCCTCCTCCTTCTCCTCATCATCATCTCCTCGTCGTCGTCCTCCTCCTCCTCGTCCTCACCCTCCTCCTGCTGCTCCTCCTCCTCCTCCTCCTCCTCCTCCTCCTACTACTTCTCCTCTCCTCCTCCTCCTCCTCCCTCCTCTCCTCCCCCTCCTCCTCCTCGCCCTCCCCATCCTCCTCCTCCTCTCCTCCTCCTCCTCCTCCTCCCTCCTCCTCTTTCTCCTCCTTCGTTTCCTCCTCCTCTTTCCCTCTTTCTCCTCTTTCTCCTCCCCGATCCTTTTCCTTCTCCTCCTCCTCCTCCTCCTCCTCTTTCTCCTCCTTCTCCTCCTGTTCCTCCTCCTCCTCTTCCTCCTCCTCCTTCTCCTCGTCCTCCTTCTCTTCCTCTTCCTCCTCCTGCTCCTCCTCCTCGTCGTCCTCCTCCTCTTCCTTCTTCTCCTCTTCCTCCTCGTCGGACTGCTGCGGCCTGGTCCGGGCACGGGCTCCTCCGCATCCTGCGGGCTCAGGGGTATGAGGACCACGTCGTCCTCGGCGTCCTCCTCGGAGTCGTCCTCGGGGGCGGCCCTGCCCTTCGCGAAGCCCTTGCTCTTGCTCAGGCCCTTGTCCTGGCCCTTGTCGGGGCCGTCGCCCTTGCCCTTGCCCTTGCCGATGGGCATGGCGAGCTCCTCCTCGAGGTCGTCCGTGGCCAGCTCGAGCCTCAGCGCGGCCGCCGCTGCAGCGGCAGCCATCGCGCCCCGCGGGGGCGCGGGCGCGAGGCCGCCTCTTGTGCTGACAAGCGGCTGCGATTGACTTGCGCATATATAATGGCAGCAGCGCCGAGGGCCTGCAGCGCTGGGAAGCGGTAGCTACCGCTGAGCGACGGACATCGCTGTTTCTCTTGGCGGGGCTTTCTGAAAAGCGGCAGTGGCCGCTAAGCGATAGACATCGCTGTTCCCCACGGCGGCGGGTCGGGCCGCGTCGTGGGAAGAGGATGGGGAGGGGGAGAAGGAGCAGGAGGCCAATCCTATCCAATCTGGCTCAATCCTCCTCCCCGCGGCCCGCCAGAAGGAACCGCTGAGGAGGGGGGCGAGGGTGATGCGGGGGGGGGGGGAGCATGGGGAGGAGGGCCATCTTCGCCATCCTGAAAAGGTGCGATTGCTAAAACCTATGGTCGCTGGGGTAACTCACAACAGGGGCCGACGGCTGCGGCTCAGCTTCACTGAATAACTGCCCGAAAAGAATTCCATGCGCGGCATGGTACTCTTGAGTTTGCTATGGCTTCAGCCAGACCTCCTCCTCCACCTCCTCCTCCCCCTCCTCCTCCTCCTCCTCCTTCTCCTCCTCCAGCGCCAGCTCGGTCCGAGGCCCTCAGGGGCCGCGCCGCGCCAGCGCCAGGGGGCCCCTCGCCCCGCCCTGGCCCCCCCCTGCCCTTCTTTCCCCTTCGGCCTTCCTCGCCTTGCCGCGCGATGGAGGGGCCGTCGCGGGATGGGCGGGCGGGACGCCGCCGCCCCAATCGCACCGCCGCCCAGCGCCGCGCCCAGGCCTGGCGGGCGCAGGGGGGGGCGGTGCAGCACCTGCTCATTGCCTTTGATGCGATCTTGGAACATCGTGGTCAGGCGCCCTCTCGCCTGGGCCGCGCCCTCCAGGTCGCCGTGCGCGAAAGCGCTGATGGTGCGCGTTGTCGTGGGCGCGATGGTGGCACTGCACTTCCGCGAAACGCGCTTTCTCCACGAGATGTTCATCCTCCGCGCGAGGATGCGGCTCCACGAGATGCGGGTCTTCAGGTTGGTGTGCATGCTGATCGAGGTGGACTGCATGAGCAAGATGCTGGGGCGCGTCAACTGCGCGCGGACCATCTTCAACCACCAGTCGCGGCACTTCCATCAGTCGTGCTTCCCCCACGTCCCGCGGGTCTTCCACGAGTTGCGGAGGTACCACCAGGAGCGGATCCTCCACCCAGTTGCGGATCCTCCACCTGAAGCGGGTCATCAAGGAGCACGTGTCTTTCCTGAGGGTGCGCGTGTTCAAGGTGGATCGAATGTGCGTGGTGCTGGGGCAGGCCTACCACTTCATTATTCTCCACCAGAAGAGGATCACCATGATCAGCGAGTTTCCGCTCAAGCCACCCCCTCTTCTCCTACAAGTAAAGAAGAGCATGCAGGACAACACGGACCGACGATCCATGAGCGTCGTGTCCGTGATCGGGGAGCGAGAGCAGGTGCGTGCGTCCATGATGCACCCACCGAGACGGGCCCAAAGGCGTTCACACACGGTGCGCCCTCCGTGCCACGGTGACTGAAACGGATCATGCTGGTAAGTGCTCTGTGAAGGACAGGGGCGGCGACGTCTTTCTTCTAGATGCTGCCCAAGGTTCCCAGGTAAGATCGTAGGACGTCTCCTATGCTCTGCATGCACCTGGCGGACCTTCAGGTGCTGAGCGCGCCGTTCGCGATGGACTGCACTTCTGTGTCAACGGTCCCCGTTCACCACGTCTAGGTGCCTATCGTCCACGAGCTGCCGCTCATTCCACTGCCCTTCGAGCTTCTGCGCGTACTCCTCGGCGCCGACGGCGAGAGGAAGGGGCGCCTGAGCCTGAAGAGGTAGGGAGTCTCGAACGATCCACGCTCCATGAGCGTCGGATCCCCGTTCTGAATCCAGTCGCACGGTGCCGCCCTCCTCCCCAGTGGCCTCTAGCTGTGCTGCTGGGACCAAGTGTGATGATGCTGTATCTTCTCGCGAGGTCCCCTGCGATGGTTCAAACATGGATGCGTCCTTCTCTGCGGGCTCCCCACCACTGCGCGTTGACGCGAATTTGACCGAAGGAGCGCGCGCCCATGGCGCAACCGGCGCAGACATCCTAGAGACGAAGTACGAGTCGAAGGTCACCGGTTTGTTCACTGGCGTATTCGGGCCTACGTCTGGCGTGAGGACTGAAAGGGCGTGCGCCCATGATGCGACCGCCAAGGTGGGGCCCGTTTCGCATGCCATGCCGTTCGACCTCAAGGGCGCGTTCACTCCGAGGGCCTCGCCTGAGTCGGATGTCTTGCCGATCAGGCCTGCCGCGCGGCCGCCTGCCTGCGCCCCCGTGAGCGCTCGGGTCGCGGGGCAGGGGTCGGGCGGCGCCGCTGCTGGAAGCACTTGGAATCCGTTCGGGGTGACGGCTGAGGCGAACTCCGAGGCTCATCGTGTGGAGGTCGACGAGGTCCACGACAGTTCGTGCAGTCTCACTGGTCGAGGCGATGCCAGCGCTGACAGTCAAAGGCAATATGACAAACCGCGCCCAGCTAGCCGAGCCCATGGCGACGCTAGCGGGGCGATGACCGTGAGCCGAACCCGTGGCGAGGCTCACGGTGCAACTGCTGCTACCAGGATTCTACACACTGGCATGATGGTCAAAGTCAGTGGCCGTTTGGTGACATCTGGTCCTGGCAAGCGGCGTGGCCGCCCTCGCCTCTCCACCATGCCCTTGGGCCTTTGCGGCGCAGTGCACAGCGTCGACTTCATGGTGGGAGGCTTCGGCCGTGCAGAGGAATATGGTGCTCTTGTCGACTGGGACTCCCGTGCCCGTTTGCAGGTTGCTCCATGACCTACCATCCGCGGAGCGAGTGGCAGCATCTTTCTCCAGCGCAAGGTGCTTGCTATCCCTCGGTGTTCCCTCATTGGTTGAGCGATGCTTCGGGGTTGTGGGTCACGCGAAGGAGGGCGGGGCGGGCTTCTACGTCCTCCCCGTCACTGGCTTCGCCTGCGGCTCCGTGTTGCTCTCCTACTTCGTGATGGCGCGCCTCGTCGACGCGCCCCTGACCCTCTTCCACTGCGAGTGGGTATTCCTCCACACTTTCTTCAACCTTGCCCTCTCCGCCATCGTGGCGCGAGGGCGCCTCGGCGTAGTCCGTCGGGCGCGCGCCAGCGCGGCCGGCGGGGGGCGCTCGAGAGGCGCTGCGCTCCTCCTCCTCCTCCTCCTCCCCCTCCCCCCCCCCTCCCCCCCCTCCTCTTCCTTCTCCTTTTCTTTCTCCTCCTCGAATTTGAGGAGGACTTAGAGGACTTGCAAGTCCCTACAAGAACGAGTTTTGCAGAGCAAAACTCGCCCACCTGCTCCGCGGGGAACTACCCTTGGCGGGCCAGGTGCCCCAAGACAGCGCTTGCAACGTGAGATGTTATTCTCTTCCCCCTCTCCTCTTCTTCTTCCTCTTCCTCCTTTTCCTCCTCCTCCTCCGCCTCGGATTGGGCTCCGACTCGTCTTGGGCTTCTGGCTTCAATCAGGCTCAATCGGATTGGGTCGGGGGCTCCGACCGGGCGGGCACGGGTCGCCCCCTGGGCGAGGTTCCCAGCTTGCGCAAACCCTTTGCGCAGTCAAAGGTCGCGCCCGCGGGCGTATCTACATCCCCGGCCCTGCGCCGGAGCGCCCGACCCCCGACCGGCCTGCCCTCTGGGGCGCGCCGCTCAGGCGAAGTCCTTCGGGTTGAAGGCGCCGGACTCCTTGCCGACGCCCCGCAGCCGCTGCTTCGCAGCAGCCTCGGCTTGGCCCATCTTTCTTCGAGCTGTACTTGAGCTGCTTGCTGCCGTGCTCCGTCAGGTCAGACCTCGCGAGGCACTGGGGCCGACTCTTCTCGTGGGTGACCCGGGGCTTGCCCATTCACTTGCCCTTCGCGGCCTCCTTGGCCGCTGTCTGGGGTTTCTCGGCGCGGGCGTTGGCCTTCGCCTTCGCCTTGGCCGCCTTTTTGGCCTCGGCCTTCGCCTTGGCCTTGGCCTCGGGGAGGGCCCCCCCAGACTGCCCATGACCTCGAGAACCACCTCGCCCAAGTCCTTGTTATGGTGCGCTGGCGGGTCGGCGGGGGCCGCCGTTGCAGGGGCCGCCGCTGCAGGCCCCTTCCCGTCCGCGG